GACAGTGGGATGTAATGGGAGTTTTGCCAGAGGGCTTCTAGAAGGAATTCTCTGTTCCTATAAAGACAGGAAAACAACATTTTCTGACTCTGGACACTGAGGCGTGAGGAGGTGATGCCGGTAGCTGTTGGCATAAAGGGACTGAACTGACATGTTGGCGGGACCAGAGCAGGAAAGGCAAGTTGGCTTTGATTTATACATCACGTTGTAAAGCCACCAAATTAACCGTCCCTGGCTGGAGCTGCCCTGTCTCTAAACAGCACGTTCCTTAAGATAATATACCCCCTTCATGTTTAAGCCTCCTCCACTTAGGATTTGCTGTTACCGGCAGCCAAAAGCATTTTCACTGCTGTGATATATAGAGCTACATAAATATATTTTATAAAGTTTATTCCTTCACCCTACAAATATTTAATGAGGATGCCCCATATGCCAGGCGTGAGTCATTCTGCAGACACACTTTGGCTCTGCTTTTCCCATTTAACGTTTCCTCCAGTCATTAAGATCTCTTTGGAAATACAGTTTTAATGGCTACATTGTTTAGTCATTTCTCCATTATCGGACATTTAGGTTGCTAAGGATTTTCATTATTAAAAGTAAAGACATGGTGAACATCCATGTGCATTATTAGTCACATTTCTGATAATTTGGGAATATATTCCTAAAAGAGAGAGAAAGATATTTTTAAAGTACCTAATACATATTCCCAAACTGCTTTCCGGTTTGTGCCAATTTATATGTCCCCATGTGACATTTGAGAGTTGCTGCTGCGTTATCGGGGCATTCTCGTAACACACGGTGCCTTTTCCCCCCTCAATTATTTCTAGAACAAATTCTGGTAAAATTCTACAGGACATATTTACCCAGTGAATCAATGGCATACAAAACAGGAGGGGAGATTGTTAACAAAAGAGACTTGATGAGTGCACATGTTAGGATCCTGATTCATACGATTTGTAAAAAAAAAATAATTTTGAGAAATTTGAATACAGACTGTTATTTGATGTTAAGGAATTAGCGTTAATTTTATTACATATGGTAATGGCATGGGGTTATGTTGGGAAAATAAAGTCCTTGGCAGTCACAGATGCATCTTTATTAATAAATGAAATGGTGTGTCATCTGGGATTTACTTTAATATACTCCAGCAAATAAAGGGGATGGGGTGGCACAGGAGAAACCTGATTTGCAAAATGTTGATAATTCTTGAAACTGAGAAATGAGGGTTTATTATGCTATTCTCTCTACTTTTGTGTATGTTTGAAAAATATCATGATACAAAGCTTTTACATTTTTTACCTCTTAATGAATTCCTTTAAAAGAATATGTCGTTGACAGTGTGCGCATAAAAGGTTGGGAGATGCAGGCCTGCCCTCCTCTCTTCATGGGCTCAGTGAAAATTATAGGGTTTCAGCTTCTGATGCCAGCCAATTCCCCCGGTCTTGGTAGCAGATTTGGCAGCCACTGGGGTCTGGGTGTCTACATAAAGCATAGAGCTATGGGCACTTGGTTAATTTCCTTTTCTCAATCCTACTTATGACTTGTACCCCTGGCAGTGGCCTGCACTCAATTAGAATAGTCAGGTAGAAAAAAAAGCAGGCCCAGGAGACAAGATAATCTAGGTTCTAATTCTGGCTTTATGACGTTAGGCAAATTTCTTTAGCTTTTGCTTTGTAGTCATCTTCTTCTCATCTGTCAAGGGGGCCTAGGAGCCCAGCACCTGCCAGCTCCCCGGCCAGGGTGTGAGGAGTAGTGACAAGCACACAGCCGGCAGAGGGAAGGCCTTTGATGATGATGCCTGAGCCCTTCTTCACCAAGAAGGACCCGAGGGTTGTTATTCACCATCCAGGCATCCTCAACGCTCAGTATTGTAGGGTGCAAAAGAGGGAGGCTTTCTATGAAAAAGCCTGCCTTATTAGCTCACCCACACACTTTTAAGCTCTAAGAGGAGTAAAAGCCATAGAAACGCCTCCAACTGCAGACATAAGGAATCTGTCTCCTCTCGCTTCCCTGAATACCCCCACTTATGCCATTTTCTGTTATTTTTTCTGATTAGAGAAATGGCAGTGATCAATCTAATACAGTAGGTAACCAAAAGTCATGATTATCTCTTTTTTAAAATAAAATTGAGTGCTTTGAAACCAAATAAATAAGACAGAATGGAGAAAATTTAAATCCCTGGAACATGTCACAGAATCACCAGAAGCCTCATTCATTGGAAACCTCAGCTCATCAGGCTTGTCGGCTGGCTCCAGCAACGCACCCGAATGTGCCTGCGTCACTCATCACAAAGCGAGGCTGCGTTGAGGACCCTGAAGAATAGATAATGCCATCGTACTTCTGTGTTGGCCCTTGACTCTCTGTGGCTTGCTTTATAGATAGCAGTTTATGTGTCCCAGCCCTGGATGCTGGGGTTATCTCGTGAGGCCATCTTAGTCTGTTTGGGCTGCTATAAAAAAAAAATACCATAGATGGGGGAGGGGGTGTTGTCAACAACAGAAATTGATTTCTCACAGTTCTGGAGGCTATGAAGTCCAAGATCAAGGCACCAGCAGACTTGGTATCTGGTGGGAGCCCACTTCCTCAAAGATGGCACCTTCTTGCTGTGTCTTCTCATGGAGGAAAGGATGAGCAAGCTTTCTTCCTCCTCTTTTATAAAAAGGGCTCCACTCTCATGACTTAATCACCTCCTAAAGGCACCACCTCCCGATACCATCACCTTGGGAGTGAGGATCTCAACGTACGAATTTTCAGGGACATAAACACTCAGACCATAGCAGTTCCCCAACCATGTAGTGCAGGGCCTTGAACTTAATAGGTACTCAGTGTTTTAATGGCTACATTGTTTAGTCATTTCTCCATGCTCTGCTTTCCAAGAGCAAAATAACTAAATGATCTCTGGGACAGGAAAGGAGTACATGAGAAAGTTCTAATTGCTTGTAACTGCCCTCCACCCCAAACACACACACACACACACACACACACACACACACACACACACATCTCTCTCTCTCTCTCTCTCTCTCTCTCTCTCTCTCTCTTATTGTTTCTGAGCCTTCTCCATTTTCATTGATTTTATCCAATTTCTGGAACATTATCAGGAAAATAAATAGCCCCAAATAAATGTTTCCCCCTTTTTCTGCATGTTTCCTGTGGTTAGTTTCCCTGTATTCAGTGACTAAAGCAGCAATATTCTCTGGTCTTACAGCTATGTGGCCTACAGTGAAACCTACACTGCCAAGAGTTGCTGAGGGGCTTTAATTTTTAAAACAAGAGATCCCAGAAAAGAGATGACAGTCTGGTTTTCTATCAGGAAGGGCTCTAACTAATTCTCAATGGAACCACTCCCTGTCCTTCCATCCTTCTTAACCAAATCATCCAGTCCATTCCACTCCATCCCACCCAGCTAATAAGAAGCTAAACTCAATATCTTCCTCCAGTTTCTTGGTTACATACCATTAATTTCTTACACAAATGCAGATCTCTGTGTGTTGAGAAAGGAAAATGGAATTTAGCTGGAAAACTAAGTGGTAACATAGTATGCACATCTGGGTGTTTGGGAAGGGCAGCTCCTTGGCTTGAGCTGAGCAGACCAGGAAATCACAATCCAATCCCAGAAGCCCACACACTTAAAGATCTGGTCTGAACACTTCCCAGAGTGCACTGGGAGGCAGCCACTGGCTGAGCTGTAGCAATAAGAAAAGATATCGGCTCGGAGACAAGTGGGGTGTTATCAAAACAAAGTTCTTGTGATGCCAACAAAGGGACCCAAGTTAGAAAACTGAACTTGAAAATAAAGAAAAATGGAAGGAAGGAGGTTTGACTTGAATAAGAAGCTGAACTGAGGGAGGCATGCTCAGTATGCATTTTTTAATGGTGTTTGTATTCAGAGTGACTCTGATGTCAATCCCCTCAAAAACTTAGCCTTCCCATGTTTACTGAATGGAATCCACATCCCCCCAATGAGAGTGGGCTGACCCTCGTTGCCCCTTAGTGAGAGATACTGCGTGTATCCCCGCTCTCTTTTTGATTTTTCTTAGTAACATCCATAGTCCTACAATATGTACTCTTAGCAGTACACCTATGTGCGCAGGTAGACAGGCCAAAAGGGTAGACATGGAGAACAGTTAGAGGCAAAGACAAGAGAGACATTTTACATTTTATCAAACCATAACATCCAATATCTTTGTTGTTACTCCAAAAACATGAGGTGTGTGTTTGAAGAATTTTGTTCAAAAGATGGGAAAATCTTGAGCAAATTTCTCATTTCTACATATGCTGGCACTGCTGTTTCTGGAACATCCCAACTATCACCACACACATACACCCTTCTCCTTGCCTGCCCAACTCCTCTTTAGCTTTCAGGTCTCCCTGCTTAATTGTCCCCAAACCCCAAGTCTGAGATGGGCCCCCCTTTTAGTGGCTCTCATGGAACCTCATACTCCAGTATAACACCAATCACACAATGCAGTAATCATCTCACTGGACTATGAGGACTGGGACCAGATCTGTCTCTTCCACAGTTCTATCATTAAGTTAATAAGTATTTGTAGAATAAACAAATTCTGATTAGTCTATATAAGCCTTTTCTTTGTATGAGCCTTTTCTTATCTCTCTGAACAAGATCTGTTGAGTATGGTTGTTCAGGTTGTGTACTGTACAAGGACATCTAGCAGAGGGTGGAAGGGAGGCTGATATCCGGCCCACAATCTCACCACCAAGCCATTTTTGTGTTGGCTGTATCCACTCAGAGAAGGAAGTGCTTTTTTCTGATTTGCACAATGGCACCATATGGGCTTTCAGCAGCCCAGCTCCGAACACTTGTCTTCAAAAGGGCGGTGGGAACTCTCCCGCTCACTCCCGGAAAGGCTACGAATGAGGGGTTTTTACAAAAACTGTTTCTTTAGGTCCCTTTCCAGCCGTCAAAGCCAGGACGCAGACCCCATTCACAGCAAAGGTGCTTCTCACTCTTCTCTCCTCTGCTTTTTTGTCTCCTGCAGGGTTTGGGATGACGACCCCAGCCACGGTGGGCGGAAAAATCTTCCTGATCTTTTACGGCCTCCTTGGGTGTTCAAGCACCATCTTGTTCTTCAACCTCTTCCTGGAGCGCCTCATCACGGTCATCGCCTACATCATGAAATCGTGCCACCAGCGGCAGCTGCGGCGGCGCGGGGCCCCGGCCCAGGGCGGCCTGAAGGGCGCGGGGAAGGGCGAGGCGGACGGCCTGGCGGGCTGGAAGCCGTCGGTGTACTACGTCATGCTGATCCTGTGCAGCGCCTCGGTCCTCATCTCCTGCTGCGCCTCGGCCATGTACACCCCCGTCGAAGGCTGGAGCTACTTCGACTCGCTCTACTTCTGCTTCGTGGCCTTCAGCACCATCGGCTTCGGGGACCTCGTGAGCAGCCAGAACGCCCAGTACGAGCGCCAGGGCCTCTACCGCTTCGCCAACTTCGCCTTCATCCTCATGGGCGTCTGCTGCATCTACTCCCTGTTCAACGTCATCTCCATCCTCATCAAACAGTCGGTGAACTGGATCCTGCGGAAGCTGGACGGCGGCTGCTGCCCGCGCTGCGCGGGGAGCTCCCTGCGCTCGCGGCGGAACGCGGTGGTGCCGGGCGCGGTGCGCAAGCGCGGCGCCGTCTCCATAGAGACGGACGCGGCGGCGGAGAGCGAGGCGGACGCGCGCCGCCTGTCGGGGGAGATGATCTCCGTCAAGGACTTCCTGGCGGCCAACAAGGTGTCGCTGGCCATCCTGCAGAAGCAGCTGTCGGAAACGGCCAACGGCTGCCCCCACCAGGCCAGCACGCTGTCCCGGGACGACGAGTTCTCCGGGGGCGTGGGGGCCTTTGCAATAATGAACAACAGGTTGGCAGAGACGAGCGGGGACAGGTAGAAGCAGGAGAGGCTGCTGGACTGGACGGGGAGCCGTGGGGAGAGTGGGGGACGGCAGGGTGTCCCCCCCACCCCCCCAAGGGCCGGCTCGCTCGCTGCGCCCTGGCTCGGCTGCTTCTGGGAGCGGCTCCTGGGAGCCCCCGCAAGCCCAGTTTGAGAACTCTGATCTTGGCTCCGACCAACAGCCACCTTCCCCGGGCTGGGGGAACCTGAAGCCTCCAATGCCTTTCTCCTTCTCTTTGTTCTTTAAGTTGGAACTCAGTGCTTTTTAAAATGAACCACAAAAAAGGAGGCTTAGGCCCCTTTGCCTTTTTTTTTTTCTTTTTTTTTTTTCGGGTTTTTGGTTGCTTGGGGGGTTGGCTTTTTCGTTCGGGCTTGGTTTTCTTCCGGTTTTTTTTTTCCTTTGGAAGGGAATTCTTGAGGCCCCCACTTTTTCCTTGGACTTTTGATTGGGGAAAAAAATATTTGGGAATGCGTCTGGGCTTTCTTTTTTTCTGGCCTTCCTTCGGAGCAGATTTGTCAGTGGTGCCACGAGTAGGAAGATTTCTGTTCTCTTTATACTTGTTTCTCTGTTTTTTGTTTTCCCTTTCTTTTTATTTTTAAGAGCTTAATGCCTGGCTAAGGTGTCTGTGGAACCTCACTGTGATGAGAAACCGAAATTCAGCTTCCGGCCTTTAAACTGCAGCAAGGCGGTGGGGGAGGGGGAGAGACTCACTTTTGTAACTAAAAAACATAGCCTAACATTTCTCTTTGCATGGTCACATAGACCATTTCATTTTTACCAGGGATTGGGGCCCATTGCAAAGATAAGACTGACTATTTATTAAAACTGAAAATTTAATAAATCCTCATTTTATTACCTAAGATTCCATGAGTGCTCATTGTGGACGGTGGAGGACAAGCATCTAATTAAACAGGAATTCACTGTGCTCAGAGGAGAAGGACATGGGAAATTGACCTTTAGGGATGCGACCATCATCTTGGAGTCTTGACTGGAGAAAGATTCTAGGCCAGGTAATGAAATTTGGCTTTTCTTGTCTAATTCATTTCTCTTCTGCCTTCTGGGACTGTAACAAGTCTATTATAGAAATTCCCAAGCAGTTAAAATATCCATCCTATTAACATAGACTGTTGACCTTATTCGGATAGGCAGGAGAGTTCATTGAGGGGGGGTGAAAGCAGCATAGAAAAGAAATAGCTGTTGTGTTAATGTTGTGTTAAGGTAAGAGTGGTGCACACACAGCACCTTTAGAAATGATGTTGAGAGGCTAGGCATGGTGGCTCACGCCTGTAATCCTAGCACTCTGGGAGGCCGAGGTGGGAGAATCACTTGAGCTCAGGAGTTCAACACCAGCCTGAGCAAGAGTGAGACCCATCTCTGCTAAAAACAGAAAAATTAGCAAGGCATGGTGGTACATGCCTGTAGTCCCAGCTACTCAGGAGGCTGAGACAGGAGGATCGCTTGAGCCCAGGAGTTTGAGGTTGCTGTGAGCTAGGCTGACGCCACGGCACTCTAGCCCAGGTAACAGAGTGAGACTCTGCCTCAGAAACAAAAGAAATTATATGGAGAGACGGACCCTGTAAAGAAAACAAAGCTGAAAGCCTATGCCTAGTGAAATTGAAACATTCAGCAGAGAACACTAGAGCTGAAAGGACCTTTAGGAAGCACCTCATCCAACCTCCTTGTTTTTGACACTGGGAAACAGAGGCACAAGGAATTGTTCTTTTTCTGAGGTCTTACGGCTGGCTGATGGACAGGAGGGGAAGGAACCCAGGTCTCCTGATGGTGGAGTCGGGTCCGCCATTCTCCAGACAGGCTTTGAACCCTCCCCAGCGGGTCCCTCTTCCGGCGAGGTTGCCTTTTCTTCCAGATTGCAAACCCAAATATTTTCTTTAGGATACCAGAAGTGCCTGATAGTAGAAGTCCAGTAAGCAGCCACCCTGGCTTTGAACTTAGGGCTACACGACTCCAAAGTCAGAGGTCTTAAACTATTTCCTATATCACTCTTACAGAGGAAGCATCCTGGAGGTACAGCAAAACCCTTGTTAGGAATCTGTGACCTCAAACAGAACTCCTCACGGGCTCTGCATTGGCGCTGTAGAGATGGGGACCGTGCCCCCAGGGGGGGTTCTTGATCTCCAGATTTCTGGTCTAGGGACTGGCATAAAGCAGGACCTTGCATCTCCAACACAGGTCCCTGGGCCCCTTGAAGGCATGCCAGGAGGCCAAGGAGCATGTGTATATGCAATCCTTATATGTAAGGAATATTTGTATATTCCTTCCTATAGGGTCAGCTTTACTAAAGAATTTTTGCAGAGAGAGGTATAACAAAACACGTGCTTTTCTTTAAGTGGGATCCAAAATTGGTGTAAACTTTGAAGCTAAATATGAAAACAAAATTTGAGCTTATAATGAGCTTCCTGAGGCACCCCCTTAGGGTATCGGAGAATGAATTTGTTTTCCTCTGGGTTGATGGTTTCCTGTTGGAAACATCTAAGAACCAGTGTAAGGAGAGAAGTGCAGTATGTCGGATGGATAGATGGATGGATGGATGGATGGACAGAAAGATTTGTAGTAAAGTATGCAGAAAGATTTGCCAAACTAGGGATCCTTATGAAGTCTCTCTACAGTTACTCTTAGACATGAAATGATCAACAAGAGAATTTCTAGATAGTCATTAAAAGCTGAGTTCAAAACCTGGACCCTGATATTGTTACGTATGCACGCATAGCTGTGAGAGGGCCCACACATGGGCATGCATGTGCATGTTCCTGGCTAGTGGGAGTCACGGTTTTCATCATGTTTCCAAAGGAATCCTCATGTCTTCTACAGAATAAGAACATTTACTGCTACTGTCTCTTGTCCTTTTTGTCCCCACTCAGCATGTCTCCAGCCCTACTCACCAGTTCTCTCTATTCTGTCTTCTCTGAGCTGTCACTGTGCAGCCTCCCCTACCAGAAATTGTGTCATGCTACATGCAGGGCAGCTCACTGGCCGAGAGGAAAGAGACAGTGTGCAGAAAGCATCAAGGCTGGCCATACTCCTCAGTTTAGGAGCCCAGAGTCTCCCCAGAGTGGTAAAGGGACTCATTGACATGACATCTAGTTTAGGTTTCTTCCATGGTGGGCAGTCTTGAAGTTCTCTGTGATGCTATAGACAAAGGCCTTTAACACAGAGGCCCAGAAGCTGAGACACAGAATTTCTCATGTGACCGTCATCCCATATCACTGCAGTCCCCAACCCCGGGGCTATGGACAGATACCGGTCCATGGCCTGTTAGGAACCGGGCCACACAGCAGGAGGTGAGCAGTGGGCAGGTGAGTGAGCGAGGGAGCAAAGCTTCATCTGTATTCACAGCCACTCCCCATCGTTCTCATCACCGCCTGGGCTCCGCCTCCTGTCAGATCAGTGCAGCATTAGATTCTCACAGGAGTGTGAGCCCTACTGTAAACTGCACATGCCGCGGATCTAGGTCGCCCACTCTTCATGAGAATCTAATGCCTGATGATTTGAGGTGACGGTCTATGGAAAAATTGTCTTCCATGAAACCGGTCCCTGTTGCCAAAAAGGTTGGAGACTGCTGTCCTACTACTTGTGTAAGTTTTGCCATGTCTCTATACTACCTGAAATAGTATCATCTTAGTATTTTAATCAACTCAGTTTTTAATTGGTTTTGTTTTTAAAAGAAACTTTGTTTCACTAACTAAATGGAAGACTGTGTATCACTTGCTATAAATACTCTATGTCTATAGCACTCTATTGAAAATAGAGGAATTGTAAAAATAGGCAAAGATAAAACTATGTTATTAAACTCTAGCCAGATCCCATATCCTAGTAAAACCTCCCTCTTTGTTAAAAATGGAGATTAGCCCATGTTGGGGAGGCAGTGAAGTCACCCCAGCACCGAGCAGAGACGTTCTCTGTAATATCACCAGAAGGACTGGAAGAGACTTGGAAAGGAAATAACTTCCCTTTTCAAAGAAAGGATTTGATGATAATTGCACACCTGAGAACCCCTAAAATCACCTCATGTTTCACCCAAGTCATTGGTAGACATCTCGTATTTTGGGCAACAACATACAAGTAACAAAATACCAAAAAAAGCACAGTTTCTGAAGTCAGGCCAACTACAGGGTGAAGAATAGTTTTTTTCATCACAGTACTTGGGTTTGAACACCAGTCCCGATGGTTCCAATGGGGGAGAGGTTGGGCAAGTCTGTGGAGCTGTCTGTGCCCCAGGCCCTTTGCATCTCTGACATGGAAGCTGTAACACCATCAGCTCCTCGCACAGCTGTTGAGAGGATCAAATGAGGTCATTGATCTCAGGGAAGGCTTTGGAAACTCTCAGAAACTGCCCAGGCAGTGGGCACATATGGTCCATATGCTGGGGCAGGGGGCCGGGGTATATGACATTGAACAATGGGAGATTTTGTGTTGTTCTTGGACCTGGTGTCCAACACTTTCCACACTGTGATTCAATAATGGTTCTCAATTATTAAATAATGTCACTCTTGGTGATAGTTTTCTACCAAAGTAAACAAACCCCAAAGCCTGTCTTTCTTTCCCCTGAATCCTTCCATTTCATTGTCAGCTGAACCAGTTAAATCACTGATGTAGTAAAATGTTTTGGGAAAGCTGTAATACTATCTTATATCTTACTAGCATGTTATGTTTTTAAGGCTTACCCATTCATAATATTTTGACCTTTATAACCACATTGTGAAGTGGGCAGGGCACCTGTCTTCTCACTGCCCTTAATCTTTTCTGAAATAAGGGAGATAAGTAATTATTAACATTTTACATACGAATTAATGAGGTCTCACATTTACAGTGGGTTGAGAATAAGGTTTGAAATTATTTACTTTGGTGTTCTAATGATAATTGTGTATTTCCCCAATTCCTCTGTGTTTATTAATTAAAATTCTTCTGAATAGAAGAGTTTTCCCTTCTCCTCCATTGTTTCTAAATGTTGAAGAACTTTCTTTTAACCTTTCTTGTAGGGGAGGTTCGCTGGCAATGAATTTGCTTTGTTTTTGTTCAGCTGAGAAAGTCTTTGTTTCTTCTCCATTTTTGAAGATGTTTTTTGGTGGATATAGAATTCTGTGTTGATAGTTTTTTTATTTTAATTTTAGCACTTTAAGGATGTCACGCCATTGTCTTCTAGCACGTATTGTTTCTGATGAGAAGTCTACTGTAATTCTTATCTGGTTCCTGGGAATGTCATGTTCCTTTTTTCTCTGGCTGCCTTCAAGACTTTCTCTTTGTCTATTGCTTTCTTCAGTTTGAATATGATATGCCTACGCATATGTGGGGTGTGTGTGTGTGTGTGTGTGTGTGTGTGTGTGTAATATCAAGGTAATAATTGCCACAAGCAAGATCCACTAAAGGATGCTAAAATTAGTGATGTAAAAGTTTAGGGGAAAAAAAGGATGTCTGCAGTCTTAAAGCATCCCCACCAAAATATTTGGTAATTACAAAGAAAAAAATAGTAACTTTACTAGTGGAGAATTCTGATAGACACCATGCTGACCGAGTCAGCTAAGTTCACATGACAGTCACACATACCAGATCATGTGCCACCTGGTATGATGCATGAGAAGGACACTGCATCTCTGTGGCATCCCTCCCAGTCACACATAATTTCAATCTAATCATGAAAAAAGCATCAGGCAAACCCCAAATTGAGGGACATTCTACAAAATAACTGACCAGCACTCTTCAAAGTTCTCAAGATCATGAAAGACAAGTGAAGACTGGTGAAGTGTTCTAAACTGGATAAAACTAAGGCAGTGTGATCAATGAGGCTAGCGTCACTACACACCTTAATCATCTGGATATTTCATCAGGATTTGTTTTCCTATTTGGACCTCAACAGTTGACTGATTCATTCCCTTTGCATGGTATCTGCGACTCAGTCCCAATCCAGAGCCTTTGCATTTAGAAAGAAAATCCACTTGATGACTGTCATTATCCAAACTTCTGCCTTACCTTTTGGCTACCTTAAAATACACCTTTTGCCACTAACCAAGCATGTTTCTACCTATGGCAAGCTGAAGTCTGGGGAGAAGCCAAGACCTCTTTCCTCACAAGTCTCTGGGTTTATTTTCCACCAAACCCTCTTCTTCATGCAAGGCCATTCCTATCCCAGTGACCGCAAACATGCTCCAAGCAGGGTGAGCCTGTCTGAGCCCATCTGATGTGCTTGCTGCCCCTGGAAACTGCTTGGAGGGTTCCAGCAGCAGCTCCTTAGCTGCCATCACAGGAGTTTGGGGACCCTAGGGACTTCCACTTTCTAGAGAGAGTGAGGAGCACAAATCTTGCTCGGGCGGCCACATCTCAGGTTTAAGACCTATTCCCTCTGTGGAGAGGGAATAACCCCAGCAGGTTCGTTTCCTAGGATTCAAGAAGCAGAATGTGTTGTTGGTCCTCTGTTGTTCATCAGGAGCTTTTACAAAGCAAAACCCTCTGATTGAAATGGAAACAATTCCGGGCTCCACAGCACCCTGACTGCATTCCATCCTGTGGAGCTCAGAGCCATTTATGTGGGTCCCATAATTGGACAGACTATCAAACACTCCCAGGATATATAACCATCACCCCTCAACTGGAGATAGGATACAAGAGAGAGGCATTACTTATAATTTTCTGACATACAAATACGCTACAGGTCTGGGCTTGGTGAGAAGGAGCACAGTTATCGTAACTCTCCCTTGTTGGGAAATAAAATGGATGTTTTGTTTTTTATTATGTTACTGGAGAAAAATAACGTCTGCCTCCAAGTCTAAGTTAAAAGTCACGGAACAGCTGAATCACATTTCCTTTCCTTCTCCTTTTCATCCTCCACAACAAGGACCTTCTAGAAGGTTCTCCTTCATTCTGGGGCCATTCAACACTCCCTTCCCCAAATCTGCTGCATGCTCAGCTCCAGCTGAGGCACATCTTGTCCTTGACAGGAGGTATCCAAGGTCAGTGCGTAGGGGGTTTCTTGCTGCAGGGTCTTCAGAGCCCGAGGCCCCACCTAAGTCCTTCTGAGTGAGAGTCTCTATGGTGGGCCTAGAACTCTGCCTTTCTAGGGAGCTTCGCGAGGTGTTCTGGGAGAGCGCTGCTGGCCTGCCTCGCTCCAGGTTCTCAGCCTGGATGCTGGTTCTGCCTTCGTCGGGGCCTGTTCCTCCCGCTGGGAAAGGTCTCAGTCTGGTTCCCTTTGCCTGAGTGGCCACTGGGACGGTCTGTGCAGGGGCCTGTCCCGCCAGTGCCCAGTTCCAAAATATTGCCCCTCCTCCCCCGGGCACCCAAGTGTCATCTGGTTTTCACCAGGTTGGAAGCTGCCTACATTGTCAACACTAAATGAGAAAGGGTCCCCAGGGCTGGATGGAGCCAGGAGTGTATGGACAGGCCGGGATGAGGAAAAACAGACTGGACTCGGAGAAGGAAGCCTGAGGTCGATGGGACGGCAGGGCTAATCTGCAGAAGGAGGAGAGGAGGGAGGTGGACGAGGGCAGTGACTGATAAGGAAACTGAATCTATAAGATACCTACCCTGAGGAGTTCTTGGATTAAGAACAGTAATGTAGGCCCGACTCGGTGGCTCATGCCTGTAATCCTAGCACTCTGGGAGCCTGAAGCAGGCAGATTTCTTGAGGTCAGGAGTTTGAAACCAGCCTGAGCAAGAGCAAGACCCCCGTCTCTACTATAAATAAAAAGAAATTAATTGGCCAACTAATATATACAGAGAAAAATTAGCCAGGCATGGTGGCACATGCCTATAGTCCCAGCTACTCGGGAGGCTGAGGCAGGAGGATCACTTGAGCCCAGGAGTTTGAGGTTGCTGTGAGCTAGGCTGACGCCATGGCACTCAATCTAGCCTAGGCAAGAAAGCGAGACTCTCTCAAAAAAAAAAAAAAATGGGTACAACACCAGCCATCTCATGGGGCTGTGGGGGATCCAGTGAGAGGAAGCGGAGAAATGGCTTAGCCCAGTGCCTGGCACATAGTAAGTACTCAGTAAAATGGTGGCCATATAATTATTTTCTTACTTCCATATCTGCACCTGATATATTTTTCGATTTTTGTTCTTTTAGAGACATGGTCTGTGTGTCACCGAGGCTGGAGTGCAGTGTCTATTCACAGGCACGATCATAGTGCACTGCAGCCTCCAACTCCCGGGCTCAAGGGATCCTCTTGCCTCAGCCTTCTGAGTAGCTGGGACTGCAGGCATGCCCCATGGCACCCGGCTCCTTATTCTTTATGAGTTTCTGAGTCAGAGGTTGACCTCTGGAAGGATCTCTGGATAATTCCTGACATGAATCGCAGGGCCAGCTTGGAGAAGGAGCAACGTAGTGAGGAAGATACAAAAGGAGGAAGAGCAGAGGGGCGCTGTGAGCCCCTGCTCACAGAAACGTTTCAAAGGTGACACCTGCTGGTGTTGCTGGTGCTTGAAACAGAACCTGGTTCCCACGCCCTCTTCCTTCTCGTGGGGCTGGACCGCCAGAGGGACGCGCTTCTGCAGGTGGGTCCAGCAGGGACGTTCAGGTAGGTGGGATTGGGTAAGACCCCGGGGGAAAGAGACCATGGCAAGTGTTAACGACAGGAGGCACCCTTACAACATCTGCCCCTCACCCCAGATGACCCCCCTGAGGCAGGTATAATCGCCCGAATTTTACAGGTGGGAAAACAGAGGCCAGGAGAGCTTAATTCACCTGCCAAAGGTCATGCCCTTCCTCCCCGGTGCAGCAGGGACTCAAATCCAGCCCCGGTCCCCAACGTCTCTAACTGCTCTTTAACCTCTTGGTGTCACACAGAACACCTGCATCGTGAACAGGTGGCAAGTGGAAGAGCCCCAGACTCCTTGAGGACTTAGCTGAGGGCACCGGGGCCCGTAGGCAAACAGCCTTATGTGGGAACATCTTGAAGATGGACAGACAGACACATCTCTGTAGCCGCAGGCTGAGGTCTACTCAGTATGAGGCCTCCGATCACTCCCTTTGCTAAGAACTAACATCTACTGAGACCTGCCATGTGCTGGAACAGTGCACGAACTTTCATATATATTTCATTTCATTTAATGTATTTTTATTCCCATTTTACAGATGGGAACGTATTTTTATTCCCATTTTACAGATGAAGATCTGAGACAGCTGTCTAAGGCCACACGATCATGAGATGTCGTTCGTGTGACTATCCTCTCAATATCAAATCCCCGTGGAGACTCACTGCTGTTTGAGTCTCACTGTGTGTCGTAGCTCTAGGTGACTACAGTGTCATTTGCAGACCCGGATATAAAGCAGGGAGTCCTTGGGGGGGTTGTATCGGTTTGCGTTTGCTACAGTAAGACCGCATAACAATCGCAGAATCTCAACGGCATACAACAGTGAGCACTGATTTCATTCATGAGTGCCGCTGGGGGCTGGCCGATCCGGGCTGGGCTCAGCCGGAGGTGGCTGTGAGCCAGGTGTCTCTCATCCTCCTGGCTCCTCCCCACTGGAGCCAGGTGTCTCTCATCCCCACTGGACTCGGTGAGCTGCTGGAACGTTCTCACGATGGTGGCAGAGGCACCATCCACACAAGTCACACGGGCAATCCAAAGTCAAGGGCGGGGAAATATGAGCCACCATGGAAATGACTTCGCCATGTGACCTCAAAGGTCACACGCAAAGGTGTGGATCCAGGGAAAGTGGAGATGGTTGTGGCCATTCTCTCTCCCTCTGCCCTTGAACCTGGCGGCATCTAGGGACACAAGGAAGCCCAGGAAAATCTCAGGTTCTCCCCAGGGGATGGGATTTGCTGACTCCCACCTCCTCGTCGTGAGGGTGTTGCTTTGACTAAACACACTTTGCTGGGTTGTGAAAAAAATATCAGCTATATTTTTTCTTTACTTCATTGTCTCTGATGATAATACTAAGGGTAATATAATTCACAGTTGTCTGGGTCTTAAAAGATTGCAAGGCATTTATTATCTTACAGCTCCTCACGTCAATCCCGAGAAGCGTGCAGAGACGGGAGAGAGCCCGTGATGCTGTATAATTAATCACAGCAGCAGCGACAACAGCAGCTGGAACTTCTTCAGCGCGTGCTCTGTCCCAGGCACTGAACAACACAGCTGACTCATTTAGCACAGTAAACCACTGGGACTCTGGAATCCGAATCTGCTTTGGGATCTCAGAGGGTCAGATTGGCAGGTCTGCTTCCCAGCTGTGTGGCCTTGGGCAACATACTCAACCTCTCTGTGTTAACTTCCTAAAGCTGTTGCAACAAATTACCAAAAACCCGGGTGGGTTAAAACAACAGAAATTGATTCTCTCCCGGTTTTGAAAGCCGTGCTATTGAAACCAGGAGGGGGTTTCGGCCTAAGTCCAGTGGCTTGTTGCACAAAGATCCAATTATCGAGACAACAGAGGATTACCAAGGAAGAAAGGAATTTTTTAATACAAAAGACATCTTGTCGGGAGAAGCTGCCTCCAACCTCTGACTGAAGGAGACCAAGGGCGTGTAAAGGAGGGGCCGTGTGCTTTGAGGGAGGACGTCTGCTCTGTCCAGGCCCTTCAGAGTCAGCTCCTTTGTCTTGTAGAAAATCCACCATTTCTGGGAAACAACCCAAAAGGTCAAGTCGTTACCTAACGGAGAGGATTATAAAAAAAAAAACCAAAAAAAACATATGAGGGTCATCGAAATTTGTTCTTGGAGCTGGTTACAGCTAGAAGTCCTCTCTTAGTAAGGACACCTGTCACTCTGGAGTAAGTGCCCACGCTACTTTAGTATTAACCCACCAAAGTTAACTAATTTTGTCTGAAATGACCCTATTTCAAACGAAGTCACATTCTGAGGTTTGTGAATTGTGGGGCAGAGGGACAGTAACCAACCCAGTATATTCCTTAAGGCTTTTTCTTTTCCGTCTATAAAAGCCAGCATTAGTCGGTTCTATATTAGAGGATTGTTGTGAGGATTGGGTAAGGTATAGCCGGAAAGCTCTCGGCCCAGAGCCTGGTACATGTGTGAACTAAAATAAAATATTCAGCCCCCCAGCTGGCTGAAATTACCCCCTCTTGGCCAAGGGGACCTCAGAAAGAACCCTAAGGCTGAGTTGCTGGCCAAGAGAAGGGAGGTCACACAGGCCTCTGCCATGCCCCCCTCTATTTTTGGAGATACCTCTGTAACAAAGAGATGCTAAGTCATTAACAGGCCTAAGGCTATACAAACAAAACAAACCACACCTGCAGGCCATCAATTTACTCAACAGATCACCTGAGTTTCAGTGAATGTCCAGAGGCTTGTCTCTGATAAACAGACATCCTTAAGTTAAAATATCCCAAGCATTTAGACAAAGCTTCATTTCTTTAACCAATTACAAATCAAAGAATCTTTAAACCCACTTATAACCGCCCCCCTCCACCTTTAAGATATCCTGCCCTTTTGGGCCAATCCGATGTACACCCTCCATGTAATGACTTAGGATTTTACATGTAATTCCTGTCTCCATGAATTTATAAAGCCAAACTGTAACCCAGCAAGCACATTTTCTCAGGACCTCTTGAGCCCATGCTTTCTGGGCTGGTCACACACATTTGGCTCAGAATAAACCTCTTTAAATTATTTTACAGAGTTTGGGTCTATTTCCATCAACACACTGAAAGGCTCATCAAATAGAAGCTGCCATCACCACTGTCACCATCACTGTCTCCACTTTACAGAAGAGGAAATGAGGTCCAGAGAGGGAAAGTTGGCTGTCCTCCCCCACACGGCAGAGCCAGGTTTTCTCATTCCTGAGTCAGCATGCCATGCGTATGTAGATACCCAATAAATGCTCCATGACAACAACCTGAAATGCAGCGGGTGTATACCAGCCATGGAGCCCCCGTGGTCACTCAGGGCTAGAACCTAGAGGACTGGGACCCAAACCCTCTCACTGTCAGAGTTTCCTACCCCACCCTTGGCTCCCTGGCTCTTTAAAACCAGCTCTTAATTCCTCTGCTCTCTACCTAGAGGCCTGGGGTTGACATACCTGGGTAATGATGTTTACCATTAATATTGCGATTGGGATTCCATAAATTAGCCAACTGCGGGCTGGAATTCTTTCAGCAGCTGGCTTTTCGGCAGTGAAAACGCCACAGGGACTTCTGGCTTGCTGCATGTCCCCAGGGAGTTTGCCCTGACAAAAAGGCCTTGCCAAGACAGAGAAAGCCAAGTTTTGAACACCCCTGTTAACAAATGCACCTAATCTTATCTCCACGTGGGCTCCCCCTAGGCTCACGGCTGATTTGTCCTGGGAACTGGGGGCTCTGCTGCCATGACTCGGGGGACTTGGAGCAGAGCCAGACCAGGCCATTGTGGTAGACGGAGCAGTGCAGGAGCAGTGCAGACGTAGGACCCACCCTACCAACCCCCACGACCTCATTTCCATTCTCTGGGAAGTCCCTTGCATCTCCCCCATACACAAGCCACGGAATCAGACACAGACCCCAGGAAACAGATGCAAAACAGACATGGTCCCTGAAGTCTAGGCTCAGAAAGGGGATGAGGCACGAACAACCTCCCTAACTAAGTCAACGAATGAAAAGACCTTCAGAAAGGAGGGCAGGAGCACAGCCTTCTGAGAGGATCAGGAAAAGCTTTATTGACAGGTAGTATCTGAGTGGGTATTGAAGGTTGAATAGAAGTTCAACAGCTAGTGGCAGAGTTACAAGTATGAGTAACAGCAGGGAGGTGGGAAGCCCAGGGCATGTACAAGAAACATTGATTTCAGCCAATCTATAGCAGACAAAATAGAGATTAAGTCAAAAACTGTAAAAAGAGACAGGGACATTACATATGATAAATTATTCAAAAAGACGTAGCAATTGTAAATATAAATGTGCCCAACATTGGGGGGTACCTAAATAAAGCAAATATTAAAGGATCTGAAGGGAGAGATGGATCTCAATACAGTAATATTAATAGTACAGGACTTTTTAAAAATATCACTTCCAATAATGGACAGATCCTACATACAGAAAATTAATGAGGAAACACTGGACCTGAACTAAATTTTAGACTAAATGGACTTAACAGGTACATACAGAACATCCCACCAAACAGCAAGAGAATACACATTCTTCTCAAGGGCATAAAACAAATCTGAACATACTTAAGAGGATTAAAATCATATCAGGTATATTTTCCAATCACAATGGTATGAAATTAGAAATAAGTAACAGGAAAAATCTTGAAAAAATTCACAAATGTATTAAAATGAAACAACATGCTCCTGAGCAAGCAATGGGTCAAGGAAGAAGTCAAAAAAGAAATTAAAAAATATTATGAGACAAATGAAAATGGAAATACAATCTACCAGAACATGGGATGCAGCAAAAGCAATTCCAAGACATAAATTTGTAGGAATAAACACCTATATCAAAAAAGAAGAAAGATCTCAAACAACCTAATGTTTCACCTCAAGTCACTAGAAAAAGAAGAACAAAGCCCAAAGCCAGCAAAAGGAAGGATGTAACAAAGATCAGAGCAGAATAAATGAAATAGAAACTAGAAAAACAATAGAAAAAAAAATCAATGAAACTAAGAGTTGTTTTTTTGAAAAGAAAATTGACAAACCCTAATTAATTAGAATAAATGAAAAAAGAAGATTCAAATAAATCAGATATGAAAGAGAAGACATTACAGCTGATACCACAAAAATACGAAGGATTATAAGAGGTTACTATGAGTAGTTATACACTATCAGATTGGATAACCTAGAAGAAATGGATAAGTTCCTAGACACATACATCCTACCAAGACTGAATTATGAAGAAATAGAAAATCTAAACAGACCAATAACAAGTATGAAGACTGAATCAGTAATAGAAAGTTTCCCATCAAAGAAAGGACCAGGACCTGATGTCTTCAAGAGTAAATTCCATCAAACGTGTAAAGAAGAACTAATTTCAATCCTTTTCAAACTCCTTCAAAAAAAAATCAAAGAGGAGGGAATACTTCCAAACTCATTCTACAAGGCTAGCATTACCCTGATACCAAAGGCACAGAAAAGCATTAGGGAAAAAAAAAATTATAGGCCAATATCCTGATCAACAAAGATGTAAAAGTTCTCAACAAAATACTAGCAAAAAGAATTCAACAGCACATTAAAAGGATCATTCTCCTTGATCAAGTGGGATTTACCCATGGAATGCAAGGATAGTTCAACATACGCAAATCAATAAATGTGATACATCACATTAACCTAGAATAATGAACAAAAATCATGTAATTCTCCTTCCCTCTCTCCCCACCTTCTCCCTCCTCCTATTAACAAATATATATATATATATAATCATCTTATCAGATGTAGAAAAAGAATTTGACAAAATTCAATATCCCTTCATGATAAAAAAAAAAACTCTCAACAAATTAGATATAGAAGGAATAAACCTCAATACAATAAAAACCATATGTGACAACACACAGCTATTATCGTACTCAAAGGTGTAAAGGTGTTGTTAAACTATAATGGGTGATTTTGGTGGACCTTATCTCTGGTGACAATGGTCTCACGACACTTTTCTGGACAATTGTGCTGAGCCATCTCTTGTGGCTTAAGCTACTAGGAAAAAAAAAGCAAAAAACATGTTCCTGCCCCTTTGATTACTGACCTTGGGCAGGAATGCAGGTTTTAATTCCCCAAAAGGTTGGGGGGTTTTAAAGAGACAACTCATAAAACATTTAATTGCCCTTTTTCTGAACTTTACCTCTGTTACAGTTTCATGGCTGTATACATTTACCAAAACTCATTGAACTATAGACTTAACATGGGTGAATTTTATGGTAAATAAATGATAACACTATAAAACTAGGGTTTCTCTTCTTTCTATGGCAAAATACTCCAATAGGCATTTCACAGAAGAGACTACCAAATAGCTGGTGAGCTTGTGAAAAGATGGTCAACATCATTAGTCACCAGGGTAACCTTTTTTGAGACAGAGTCTTTCGCTTCGTTGCCAGGCTAGAGTGAGCGCTGTGGATCCAGCCTAGCTCAAGCAACCTCAAACTCCTGGGCTCAAGTGATCCTCCTGCCTCAGCCTCCCGAGTAGCTGGGACTACAGGCATGTGCCACCATGCCTGGCTAATTTTTCTCTCTATATTAGTTGGCCAATTAATTTCTTTTTTATTTATAGTAGAGACGGGGGTCTTGCTCTTGCTCAGGGCTGGTTTCAAACTCCTGACCTCAAGAAATCTGCCCTGCTCAGGCTCCCGAGAGTGCTAGGATTACAGGCATGAGCCACGCGAGTCGGGCTACATTACTGTTTCTTAATTCCAAGAACTCCTCAGGGTAGGTATCATTATATGATTCAGTTTCCTTATCAGTTCACTGCCCTCGTCCACCTCCTCCTCTCCTCCTTCTGCAGATTTAGCCCTGCCGTCCCATCGACCTCAGGCTTCCTTCTCCGAGTCCAGTCTGTTTTTCTCATCCGCGGCCTGTCCATACACTCCGGCTCCATCCAGCCCTGGGGACCCTTTCTCATTTAGTGTTGACAATGTAGGCAGCTTCCAACTGGTGAAACCAGATGACACTTGGGGTCCGGGGGAGGGGGGCAATATTCTTTGGAACTGGGCACTGGCGGGGACAGGCCCCTGCACAGACCGTCCCAGTGGCCACTCAGCGCAAAGGGAACCAGACTGAGACCTTCAGCGGGAGGAACAGGCCCCGACGAAGGCAGACCAGCATCCAGGCTGAGACCTGGAGCGAGGCAGGCCAGCAGCGCTCTCACCAGAACACCTCGCGAAGCTCCCTAGAAAGGCAGGAGTTCTAGGCCCACCATAGAGACTCTCACTCAGAAGGAATTAGGTGGGGCCTCGGCTCTGAAGACCTTGCAGCAAGAAACCCCCTACGCACTGACCTTGGATACCTCCTGTAAGGACAAGATGTGCTCAGCTGGAGTGAGCATGCAGCAGATTTGGGGAAGGAGTGTTTGAATGGCCCCAGAATGAAGGAGAACCTTCCTAAGAAGTCTTGTTTGGAGGATGAAAAGGAGAAGGAAAGAAATGTGATTCAGCTGTTCCCGTGACTTTTTAACTTAGAGTTGGAGGCAGACGTTATTTTCTCCAGTAACTAATAAACAAAAAAAAATCCATTTTTTTCCCAACAAGGGAGAGTTACGATAACTGTGCTCCTTCTCACCAAGCCCAGACCTGTAGCGTATTTGGTGTGTCAGAAAATTATAAGTAATGCCTCTCTCCTGTATCCTATCTCCCAGTTGAGGGTGATGGTTACATATCCTGGGAGTGTTTGATAGTCTGTCCAATTATGGGACCCACATAATGGCTCTGAGCTCCAGGACAGTGGAATGCAGTCAGGGCGCCTGTGGAGCCGGAATTGTTTCCATTTCAATCAGAGGGTTTTGCTTTGTAAAAGCTCCTGATAACAACAGAGGACCAACAACACATTCTGCTTCTTGAATCTAGGAAACAAGAACCTGCTGGGGTTATTCCCTCTCACAGAGGGAATAGGCTTGAAACCTGAGATGTGCGCCCGAGCCAAGATTTGTGCTCCTCACCTCTCTCTAGGAGGTGGAAGTCCTAGGGTCCCCAAACTCCTGTGGATGGCAGCTAAGGAGCTGCTGCT